GGGGGAGGGGTCAGTGGAGAATCTTTCTGGGCTTTGCTTATCTCACCAAGGTCATTTCTTCTAGCTTTGGTATACAGCAGCCCTCTGGTTGCCTAGCTACAAGGAGATCGGGCTCTACAATTTGTGTTAATTTGTTGTTTCAAGCGCTTTGCCTCTGATCTTGACTGAGACTTGTTGCTTTCGGTTCATTCCTAGCAAAAGTACTTTTCTGAATCTATGGAGCCAAGGATTTTTCTTTTCTAGGAAATGGACAGAGGCAGCCCTGACACATACAATGGATAGATACATCTATACAATGTATAGAAAATACAAAGTCCATATTGGGAGGCCATTAAGAAAGCAAAAATAATCCCACCACTAACGAAGTATCTATAAGCACTTGCTCCACATCTCAAAAAAGAATGATATGGAACTGGAGGGGGCAGGGATGAAGCAATTCCCTTGTGAGGAAGAAATCCCAACATTGGGAACCATTATATATGCAAGAGTGAGGAATGGCAGAAGACAGAGGTGACGCACTGCACAAAACAAAAGGGTTTTTCATCTCTCATATTTTTAGAACCGGAAAGTCCAGCCAAGCCAAAGGCAGTATAGTCTTCACTTTGCCAACAATAACTAGGACAGGTTTAATAGCAGCCTAGCTAATCCAAGGTGAATAAGACTATCCAGAATAACTGAAGGTTACACGGAAGCCCTAAGACAGGTGCTTTGCCTTCTTAGTGGAGAAGAAGTGAGAAGTTTCAGAGGCAATTCTTCATTTTCCCCAGAGGCACCTAATCTACGGGGAGTTGGGGATGTTTGGGGTTAGATAAGGCAGGACCTTGCCTAAGATACCCTAACAGAGTGGCCAATCAAAGGTCCATCTCCTCCCAACCCTATGGAAACAAGAAGCATAAGGACCAGTTGTCTTCTTCTTCTTCTCCTTCTTCCTCTTCTCTTCCTCCTCCTCCGGATGTGTGTTTATTTTCATGGTCATGATCATGTGCACTAAAGATGGTGTTTGATTTCATTGTACGAGATGCAATGACAATAAAGTAAACTAACTCCTTCTTCCTCTCCTCCTCCTCCTTTTTTCTTCTTCCTCTCTTCTTTCTTCTTCTTCCTCTTCTTCCTGCTCCTGCTCCCTCCTTCTCCTTCCCCACCTCATCTTCCCCTTTTGATTTCTCCACCATCCGCCCTTTTGCAAAGTTGCATCGAAGGTTTAAATAGCCATCGAAATCCGGCATCCACACTCCCCCTTCCCAACCCTACAACCCCGCAGCATTCCCCATCAGGCGGCGACCATCCTTTGATGATGGAAAATTGATGGTGATGATGATCACGATGACTGCCATGGCGGGCGGCGGGACTCACCACCACTTCCTCGAAGATACTCTGCAACTGCGCCTCCATCGGGACCGCCATGGTGCGATCCCAAGGCTTCAGTCCGCCACGATCCGGCGGGGGGGTGGGGAGTGGGGGGGAGAGAAGCAACAGGATCGCCTCTCCCCGCCGTTGCTTCTCTTCCCGGAAGTGTTACGGAAGGTGCTTCCTTTCGCATCCGGGTCGCGGGTAGCTGGGGGGGGGGGAGAAATACTGCTGCTGGTGATGGTTGCGAGTGGGATACTGTAGCCTTTACTCACTGCAACGGATTTGAGGGTTAAGGACCGAAAGTTTTCATTTGCTTGCTTTAAAGCAGGGGTCTCCAACCTTGGCAACTTTACGACTTGTGGACTTCAACTCCCAGAATTCCTCAGCCAGCGCATGAGGAATTCTGGGAGTTGAAGTCCACAAGTCATAAAGTTGCCACGGTTGGAGACCCCTGCTTTAAAGTTCCGTGAAGCGCGCCAAACTCGGATGAAAAAGCATCTTCGAGCGGTGGAATTGGCGAGCTCCTCGATTTCCTAAGGAAATACCCATCCGTTTGCACCCCGATTGCACAACGCACACCAGGAGCGATTCCGGTCATTGTTTCTCTGCTCCGATTTTCTTTAATAACAAGAAGGAGTAGTATTCCCCGAGAACTTAATTTGATGGCCGAATCCAAACCTTGAGACCGACTATAGGCTTGCAAACGTACACAGCCACCCATTATATCACCTTGCTTCGCTTTGCACAAGAAAACAATTTGAAAAATCTTATTGTTACCTAAGGAAACTCTTGTTTTTTTATTTTTTTTTATTTTGCTGCAGAAAGAAAATAAATAAAAAACTTTTAATTAATTTTGGGATTTGATTATTAGATCTGTTTGGATAAGAGAAATATTGTTACACATGTTTCATTTGCCTTTATAGGGTTTTTTTAAACGGCTTACATTTAAGATGAGAGGATATTTGTACTGTTAGTTTGAATATTGATTATTACTATTTTTTTAGATTATTTATGTACTTTTTGTTGTTGGAAGTTTATTCTTGGATATTTTATTTGAAAATAAATGAAATTTTGACCCTGGAATTGGATGATTAGATCATCTTTGATTAAATAAATATTGTGAAATTTTAAAATTATATATACTATGTATGGTTTAGGTAAGTTAAAGGAGGAGAAAAAGCATTAAAAAAACTCAAAGAAGTAGTGCAAGATTGGAAGATGTGGAGAGACATCTGGCCCTTAGAATCGCCTAAAGTCAGACATAACAAATGGATAACATCAACATAGCATGGACCGTCAATTGCACAATGCATCGAGTTATTTTATAAAATAAAAGGGTCATTGTCTTTGAACTTAATGTTTAATACTAAGGTATCTGCTATTTTTTACAAATATTACAAAAAGAAAAAAAGAAACTTATTGGAAAGGTACGTAGGTGTTAGTTTCTAACTTCCCCGTTGTTTACATGCCAACTAATTTGCTAGATAACTTAGACTTATATGCGGTGTCATAGTGCTTTACAGTTCTCTTTAAGTAATCTTAAGTATATTGCCCCCAACAATTTGAGTCCTCATTTTACTGACCTTGGAAGAATGGAAAGCTGAGTCAACCTTGAACCAGTCAGGATCAAACTCCTGGCAGTCAGCAGAATTTGCCTGCAATACTGCATTCTAACCATTGCGCCACTGTGCTCTTATATTTACAGGTAGTCCTTGACTTACAACCACAGTTGAGCCCAAAATTTATGTTGCTAAGTGAAACATTTGCTTGGCCCCATTTTACGACCTTTCTTGCCACATTTGTTAAGTGAATCACTGAAATTGTTAAGTTAGTAACAAGCTTCTCTACTGACTTTGGCTTGTCAGAAGATAACAAAAGCTGAATGCATGAGGCTAGGACATTGCAACAATCATAAATATGAACCAGTTGCCAAGCATCTGAGTTTTGATCCCATGACCATGGGGATGCTGCCTCGGTCATAAGTGTGAAAAACAGTCATAAGTCACTTTTTCAGTGTTGTAACTTTGAACGGTCACTAAATGAACTGTTGTAAGTCGAGGACTACCAGTATAAACTTGGTAGACCCACTTAGAAACCATGCTGTCAGTTTATATTTGCCTTATTGTGTGATGTATTGTGTATAGAGTAACTTGACTGAATTTGGTTAAACTTCTGTTTTGGAATACTATACCAACCAATACTGTTCATTTTCCATTGCTGCATACTCCTAAACTTTAAGTACCAATGAGATATTGTTGGTACAGACAGGTTTCTCACACTTACAACCATTGCAGCATCTCTATGGCCACAGGATCAGATGCTTGACAGCCGACTCACATTTATGACGGTTGCAGTATCTCCCGGGTCACGTGATCACCTTTTGTGACCTTCTGACAAGCAAAATCAATAGGGAAGCCAGATTCTCTTAAGAATCGTGTTACTAACGTAACAACTGCAATGGTCGTAAAGTAGGGCAAAATTCACTTAACAAATGTCTTACTTAGCAACATAAATGGGCTCCATTGTGGTTGCTTTTCTTGAAGAAAAATATTTATTCCAAAGTTGAGCAGAGTTTATTGTCACATGATGTATCTCAGTTTGGATCTGATAGGATTAAACTAAGAAAGGAGGTTCGTTTGACTGAGACAATGTCCAAAAGCCAAGGAGTAGAAAGCGTGCAGCTTCCAGTTAGATTTATTTTCTCCACAACGTAAGATTTAATGTCAAGCATGAGGAATCAAAGTCATAGAACTTTTATTTTAGCCATTTTATATTAGTCAGCTCATTTCTTTGGGAATTGTGTTTTCCCCAGGATGTTTGCAAGAAGGATTAAGTGTATTTACAATAATTCAGTAATGCAATTTTTCATCCGCTGTTTGCGTTTACAGATATTGCCAATTCTCAGCCTTGGCACAAACTCTTAAAGTATGTAATAGACCCATGTTTTCCATTGCTCACATATTGCTCACATACTACAAAAGAGGACAATACTAGTATGTGGCTTTGTTACACAGGAAGAAAAAACAGAATGTCCATTTGCTGCTGTTGATTAAAAAAAAAAAAAGAATAAGAATTCCAGAAGTCATACTTCGCACGCAACAGCATGGGACCAAGCAAAATAGCACTGGACTGAAGAAGTGCTCACTGCTTCTCCTACCTCTGTTGCAGTGGTGGGATTCTTGTGTCGTGGGCAAAAAAGAAGCATATAAATTCCTTAAATGAAAAAGTATGAAATATTCGCCCCTCTCTGTCTCCCAAAATTTGATTTTCTGGATCCAGAAAAATATGTAAACAACATGCATGAAAAATTGTGTGGGTTTTTTATGATTTTATTTGTACACTGCCAGAGTCCCTCTGTGAAGGAGACAAGTAGTTCCTAAGTGTGATTCATAAATAAATAAGTCTTTTTAACAATGATAAAGTAGTGAATATACTTGATTTATTTGAGTGTTTATTTTTTGGGTATTGGCTGAATCCCAGTTTCCTCCTATAAGGAAACCTTCCAATTTTCTCTTCCTCACTTTCAATTTCCAAACAGAAAATTGCTGAAAATGCCTTCTGCCCTTTACATGTATTGGTTAAAAGTAGATTAGGTGTCCTCCCTCTAAATGACTAAACGCTGCTCTTGTTTATATGCTACCAGTAAAGTGATAATACTCTCAATTTCTCTTCAGCTCAGGCAATACTGAAAGAGTAGGACAGAGCAAAGAGTAACTGGAAAAATGGAAACTCTTCCAGCAGATCAGACAGATATGGGAGAGAAGAGCACTTTGGAGCTGTTAGATTTCCATACAGAGACAGTTATTAAAAAAAGCACTCTTAGGAAATATAAGATACTCTGTGTTGTAAGTATTACTTTTTACTTATATTTGAATGTTGCATTTGTTATATCCTCTCTGTTTCAGTTTTGTGATTTAACAGCATAATCGTGCTTCTAATTTTCCATTGTTTGCCTGGAAATATCCTGGTTCTGCCGCTTTTTTTTTGTCATTAGCATGAATAGAGACACCTTTAATTGTTCATGTTTTCAGTGGATGGTCTGCTTCAAGGGCTAAAACTTGAAATATTCAGAGTTAGCAAAGTTGGGATTTATTGCTGTTTCTTGTTTATAATGTATAAATATCTCCCTCTCCCCCTGTCTGTCTGTCTCTCTCCCTTTGTTTAAAACAAAAGTGGATGTTTACAACTATTTTGTATTATACTGCTGTACTATGAATTGTTATAGAGAGCCAGTTTAGTCTTGTAGTTAAAGGCATTTTCCCATTACAAAGTGAAAGAACGTGAGTGCTACTCCCACCGCAGGCATAAAGCTAGCTGGGTGATTTTGGACCATTGGTGGGGGAAATTGCCCACAGATTACTTTTCCATGTACTTGCCAGGGATCAACATTTACTTGAAGGGACAGACAAAAAAAAAAAAGAATTATTATAGATTTAATTTATAATCTAGTACAGGAGTCACCAACCTTTTGGACCTCAGGGATCACCAAACTCATATTTTTAAATCCCAGCCGGACCAGAGACCCTGGGAAAATCCCAAAAAAAGTCTGCAGGAAAATTCCCCACCCCGTTTTCCTACCAATTGATCATTCTTTATTTGGGATCACAGGATACCGTCTCCAGCTCCGTTCTCCGGGGGGAGGAGAGAGAGAGAGAGAGAGACTTTTGGCTTCATGCAAGGAAAGCAGCAGAAGCAGCAGAAGAATTTCTTTCTCTCCCCTAAATTCTGCCAGAAACGAGTCTTTGTGAGACTTGTCATGCCGGCACTGCCTCGTGGAGTAGGATGCCTTGCAGGGTCCCAAAGACTCATTTCTGGTGGAGTTTGGGGGAGAAAAAGAAAAACGTTTGCTGCTTGCCTTGCGTGCAGCCAAAAGCAGAAGAAGAAAGAAGCAGAAAAAAGCAGCCCGGTGGCCAGGCGAGGCATGTGGGGTGAGTGGGGCAAGTTCCCCCCCATTTGCCCTTTCCCCCTCCCCTCACTACCTCGTGTTGTTTGCAATGCAAGCCTTGTGTTCCCGTGGGCCATGTGGGCAGTGCAGCCTTGTGTTCCCGCACAGCCTGGATTAATTGCTTTGGGGGGTGCTTTGGGGGGTGACATTTCTCTGTGGACCACCAAAATTTTCTCACGGAGCACCAGTGGTCCCTGATCTAGTGTATCCCAAATTCCATACATCTGAATTCAGGCTGGAGAAACTGATCTACAGAAGCTAAGAGTAATTCAGATCTTCAGACAAAGGATAAGAGAAAAAAAAAAACCGACTTCATTTGGTTAAACTGGAGATGTCTTGGAACCGGACTGAACTATGAACTCCTTTCATAATAGACATCTAGGACAATATACTCTGTGTTTCTCAGGATTCTTGTTCTGGGTTTTGGCTTCTTTCACCAAGTAGGTGTACCAAAATGAAGTGTCTTATATCCTGAAAAGTGGGATATTTCTGAAGTAGTAGATTTGTGTTTATTATTGTTTTGTGAGAGCCGTCTTCTTGCTCTGAACTTTGACACAAACCTATCAAAGTTCTTGAGGCGTAGTAGTGCTTACTAAAGACTGATAAAAAATAACAATGTTATCTGTTGGGAAAATTCCAAAGAAAGTCTAAGAATGAATGGTGGACATTTTCCGTAAATTTATGATTCAGAAAGAGAAGACAAAACATTAGTATGAGACTTTCTGTAACTCATTCTGCTAGAGGAATCACATGGTTTCCCAGTCTAAATGCCAATAGTCCTTGACTTACCACCACAACGGAGTCCAAAAATTCTGTTGCTAAGTGAGACAGTTGTTTAAGTGAGCTTTGCCCAATTTTACAAGCTTTCTTGCATCGTTGTTAAGTGAATCTCTGCAGTTGTTAAGCTAGTAACATGGTTATTAGGTGAATCTCACTTCCAAGATTGACGTTGCTTGTCAAAAAGTCCCAAAAATAATCATATGATCCTGGGACATTGCAACCATCGTAAATATGAAACAGTTGCCAAACACCTGGATTCTGATCACGTGACCATGGGGTTACTGCAATGATCATAAGTGTGAAAAATGGTCATAAATTACTTTTTTCAGTCTTGTTGAAACTGTCACTAAACGAATTGTTTGTAAAGTTGAGTACTACTGGTACCTGTATTTTATATCTTTTTAACGTCAGTCAATTTTACATAGGATGCAAAGCTGTTGTTTCTTTAGTAATGATTTCTCTAAGTCAGAATTGTCTGGTTCCAACAAAACTGTAGGTTTCTAAAATGCTGATGAAAAGGACTCTGATGAATTTTTAAAAGTGTAACAATGATAGTGAGGGGCCTAGAGAATAAAGCCTAAAGAAATAGGATATACTTAGCCTAAAAAGAAAAGGCCAAGGAGAGACAATGCTAGTAGTCTTCAAAGAGTTGCTAAAAACTTTGAAGGGAAGAGTTCCCAGGAGGAGAATCTGCATTTATTCGCCATGGCAGTGGTGGGATTCAAATTTTGTTTACTACTGGTTCTGTGGGCGTGGCTTGGTGGGCGTGGCAGAGGAAGGATACCATAAAATCTCCAGTCAGAGGTGGCATTTGCTGGTTCTCTGAACTACTCAAAATTTCCGCTACTGGTCCTCCAGAACTGGTCAGAACCTGCTGAATACCACCTCGGCCCCATGGGGCTTGAGGGTAAGACAAGGACCAATAGATGGAAGAGAATTTGTCTTATTAAACTATGCCTTAGTATTGATCTAGAATAGGGACAGAGGAAATGGCATAAAGGTGATTGCTATTTTTGTTTCTTGGAAGCTGTACAGAGGGAGATTCAGTCTTGAAATAAGGACGAATTTCCTGACAAGCAACGGAAAGTCTTGCCTTCTATATTAGTGGGAGCCATAAATTCTAGAGATTTTCAAGCAACGACTGGACAATCATTTGTCAGGGATGGTCTGACCCCTGCCCTGGGTAGGGTCTTGGACTAGAAGAACCAGTTTGGTATGGGGGTTAAAATGTTGGACCAGTAGAGCTCTAGGCCTGTCTTAGATAAGAATGAATAACTTTTAGGCAAGTCATTTTCCCTCAACCCAATAATCATAGGTTTATTGTTAGAGGGAAAACAGGAGGCAGAAACATTGTATACATTGCCTTGAGTTGTACAAAGTAAAGACAGGAAATATGTCTAAAGTATTATCAGCTATTTTTTAAAGTTGTGAAAGCAAAGGTAAGATGTATGTCTAATAATAAAAATGAATAAAACAGTTATTTTTACATTTTGAAATTATTTTACTTTTGGAAATAAGGCCACCCTACAGTACTCGTGAATCCTGATGGATTTCTGGAGCATATCCCAAAAGATATACTACTCATCTTCTGCATTTGAGAGATTACTCAGGTGATTGACACAGGCAATCTCAATAATTGAGCATGGATAGAAGATTGAAGAAGAAATTGGTGAAGAAAAGCTCATATCCAAACAAATGAGAGTGATATTGTTACCTGTTGCTTATCTAAGGTATAGATTATTGATTAATGTTCTCTTCCTAGACAAGGCAAGTGAATTATTCCACTTTCTGCTGACCATTTATCTACAGCCATTTGGAAATGAAGCTTGTTTTTGATTGCCCTGTGGAATTATTTTTGTGAAGAGCAAAACAAGAACAATGAATCTCGGTTCATTGTTAAACCCGAAACTATAGCATCCTCTGGGGAACTTCGAACCAGTCAATATTTCTTAGCTCAACCTATTCCACACAGTTGTAAGGAAAATGGAGGATGGAATAGTATTTCACCATCATAAATTTACAGGAATATAAATGTATTTGTTCAATTCAATCACAATGTAGCTGAAGTAAATTTGATTTCAAATATTAAGTGTTTAAAAGCTTTAGGGGACACCTTGTAACCATACTCTTGGTTTTAATAGCCTTTGGGAATTTCTTGAAGATTTGACTTTTCTGTCAGGTACAGATACTAGGTTATTAGTAAAGCCTAATGTGTATTGGTTGACTGAATATAATTTTTAGCGGCCTTGGATTTATTGTGCTACATTGTTGTTTTATAATTGCTTCCTTTTATGTTTTGTACTCTCGGCTGCCCAAAGTTACAAGATTCAGATAGGCAGCAAAATAAATTCAATTCAATCATCAATAAATTAAAATAAATAAATAAATTTTTATCTTGTGATCATTTCTCTGTCATTTGTTAAAATACAAGTATAGTATTCTGGTGCAGGAGGAAAATATTTGATAATATGCACCTGCGTTTAGGCATGAAGATGACAAGGAAAAGTGCATTTCCACTTAGAAGCTAAGCTTGGTACATTAATTAGGATTTATTCCCCGTGAAGTGCATACGTAGGATCTCAGCTGAAATGGGCATTTGGGCAAGGTACAGCTGTACATAGTGGGGGAAAAAAACACAGTCATCACTATTGCTACTTCCAGCAGTCCTTTGTGACTGGGTTAATACCTCCCTCTTTGGTGGTTAAAAAAAATAGTGTTCATTGTTGTACCCTTCTATTGCTTTGTCAAGAATTTCTAAGGAATCCTTTTGGGAGCAGCAGGAAACAATGCAGAAGGTAAGGCATAGATACCAGGATAGGAAATTGGGACCAAAGATCTGGATCCCGACCATTGCTAAAGTTCTGAAGGACTTGTTCATTGAAAAATTACAGCCACCGAAAATTATTCCAAGTATTTTGGGAAAATTCATGCTATTTATTTATAGGGTCTATTCATCAGTGGAAATTTTCTATGGCTTCTCAATTACTGTTGGGATTAATTAGGAAACATATTTTCCTAATAGTGAAGTCTGGGGCTTGCATTGTGTAGTTTGATGAATATGTCACACCATATTTTCCCCAAAGACCTAATTGACAAATACAATATTGCTAAAGACATTAT